GTTCATTCTTTGCTCGCAATGTGCACGCCTCTGGGACTTCCTTTCTCCGCTCCCGAGTTTCTGCCTTACAGCCCAGACTTCCTCCGTATGAGCCCAAGTCCCCAGGGTCTGGCCTAGAATTGAGGTTCAGTGCAGTCAGAACTGGGGCTCAGCACAGTCCAGAGCCTCTGTCTCCTTCCCTATAGGGTAGGGGTGTCGAACTCAATCAGAGAAGGGGCCAAAATCTAAAATCCAGCCTAAATCGCGGGCCGAATGGTTTACTGAACAGTCATAAACTGTCATTGTGATGGAAACGCAGCAGAGTGCAGTGATGACAGCGCAGTGCGGGCCACATTGCAAGGCCTGGCGGGACGGATTTGGCCCACGGGCCTTGTGTTTGACACATGTGCTCTAGGGCAATCTGGCAGCAGAGCCAACAGTCCATCCTCTGCGCACAATGTGTGCGCCTCCGGGACTGCCTTTCGCAGCTCCCCTGAGTTTCAGCCTATAGCTAAGACTCTCTCCGTATGAGCCTGGGTCCCCAGGGTCTCTCCCAGAACTGGGGTTCAGTGCTGTCGGAACTGGGGTTCAGCACAGTCTGGAGCCTTTATCACCTTCCCACTAGGAAACACCAGACAGGCACTCAGCCTCCCCCTCCTCTCCGGCTCTGTCCTCTCTCCATGCATGCACCATGTCTCCATACCTTAGGCTTTTACAGCTCCTCTGATTTTCTTTCTGGTTTTCTCTTTCCTTCTAGTTGTAGAATTCCCAGTCAGTCAACTTTCCTGTAGTTCTGGATAATGTCCATTTTGTATTTTAGTTGTATTTTTTTGAAATTGTTGTGTGAGGCTGCAGTTAGGCAGTTAACTATGCTGCCATCTTGGTTTCTCTGAAGAGAAAAAAAATCCCAATGCTCTTTCTATCCCTAGTTATTTTAAATTTTGTAAACAGCTACTCTGGTGGTTGTTGCTGCTCAAATAACAAATCAAGCCACACACAGAGGGAAGTGTAATGTAGCTCATTAAGTAATTTTTACTTGTAGTGAAACCACTTCAAGATGTGAAACAGTGCTTGGTAACTGAACCCAAGGCCCTTCATACCATGGGCTGATGCTCTAACCACTGAGCAAAGCTGGCTGGAACTTGCCACTCATTTTTGTATGGCCTGGGAGCTAATAAGTCTTTACATTTAAATGATTAAAACAACTTTTTAAAAGAATGGCATTAAAAAAAATCTATAGAATTCAAAGGACATGTCCATGAGTAAAGTGTCATTAAAGCACAGTCTTGCCCATTTATTGACAGAGGACCTAGGCCCACCTCCTGTCCAGCGGCAGCATAGACTCACTGCCACAGAGACTACATGGCTTAACCTTCCATGTTGGCATTTCTGCCGCTCCCTGCACAGATGGAGAGAACAGCCTCCCAGGTCTGGGCGGGCCGCCAGCTCAGTCACTTTGTGGCTAGTGGTTATGTCCCATCCAGCCGGCTCTGCAGCCAGGTTGCCAGCCCCACCCCATCCCTCTCTGTGACTTTGCTGTCCAGGTCTCCCCTCTGGTCTAGGTCCATCTGAGGGGAGAGTGAGGAAAGAGAGCACTCCAGGGTGACCCCCCTCTGCTCCTGGGGCACAGGGACCCCCAGTCCTAGTGCTGGGCCACACCCCTCTTCTGGATGCCTCCTGGTGGAGAGGCCCATCTGGGTGGCAGGTACTCCTGGCAGCTGAGGGTACTGCGTTCTGGGGTGCTGGCATCGTGGGGCAGGACTGAGTGCTGTGTCCCTGTTGGGCATCAGGTCCTCACTGTGGAAGCTCTCTGGCCTGTGGGCCAGATGAGAGGAACTTGTTTTCAGGGTGAGGGGACACAAAAAGCCACACATCAATCTCTCACTCTCACTCACCTGCCTCCAGTGGGCTCTGAGCTGCTCACAGAACACAAGGAGCCTTGCTGGGGGAACCAGAGCACACTTCTTAAAGGCTAGCACTGGGGGTGTCAAGGACATGCTGGAATTCTCTAGAAGTTCATGCTGGGATTTAAAAACAAAATAAGGTGGGAGGAAAGTGCAGAGCTTCTGCTAAAGCTGAGATTAGCAACAGCTGTGAGGCCCCACAGCCCTTGGGACAGCACAGACAGACCATCTTCTGCACCATTAACAAGCTTACACACCATAAAGGAGTCACACTCACCCCGTGTCCTCTGACCATGATGGACCGGAACTCCCAGCCCTGTCCCCATCTGGAAGCTGCAGGAACTCAGCAGAGCCCATGGAGGCCCAGGTCTGCCCCTGCTCTGCTGACTGCTGCCTTCTGCCAGCACCTCCCAGCCTGGAGCAGCCTACTGCAAGCATCTCCTATAAGGAGGGCCACCCAGAGAAGAGGGAGGGAAGGAGGGCATGGGGAAGATGAGTCAGGGTTCAGACCCAGGCCCCCAGACCTGGTTCAGGCAGCGTCAGTCTGCGGGATGGCTCAGCAGCCCAGGGGACACCTCCACCTGCCAACTCGTGGCCCATGAAGACATCTGGACGCTCAACTTGCCAGAGACACAGCCTGCTGCTTCACATGCTGGTTAGGAGTCACATGTCCTGGGTGTTTGTCCAGGAAGTCCTGCGGTCACTAACACAACAGGTACCATTTATCACCTGCTTCCCCTGTGCCAGGCACTTTGATAGAAACTACAGGTGCAATTGCAAAAGAACAAAACAAAAACCACCCCCCAACTCATTCCATTCTCAAAGCAACCTGGCAAGGCTGTATTCACACCCTTCAATGGGTAAGGCAAGTGAGGCCACAGTTCAGCAGGTCCCACATCCAGAGAGTGGCAGGTGTGCATTGAACCCACAGCTGTCTGGCTCTGGAGCTGTCTGTCACACCACCGGCCCCTCTCTACACAGTTCTAAATCTTTAACACCCATCTTCATGAGTGCACCCTCCCTGGCCACCCAGAGGGCCCATCTTGTGACACCCTCTCCCAGCATCAACACTCAGGGAGTGGAGCATGGGCAGGAGCAGAGGTGTCACGTTAGTGGGGGAGCACGCTGGACAGGGGGAGGGGCTCTCAGGAGGGAGCATCAGATTCCACAGCCAACTCCTACAGCGAGGCTGCTTTGGTCTCTTTGAGGCTGGAAAGGGCCGGGTGTCCTCTGAATCTTGTCCTGTGGTTTTCCACACACAGTGATGCCGATTCTCAGGGGGCCCCACCCCAGAGACCCTGAGCCAGAACCCCGGGTCCAGCCTGTGTCCAGGCAGCCCAGGTGAGCGTGGGGCAGGCTGCAGACTGAGAAGCAGGCATCAGACCATGAACTCCAGACCAGGGCTTTGGTCTCTCTCCAGCCCCTGACACACAGTGCTCTGCAGACAGTAACAGAAATGACAGGAGGCAGAGACCATGCACATACAGGCAGTCCTTGGGTTACGTGGGACTCGATGTACGTCATTTTGTGGTTACATCTCCCTCACCCATCTATAATAATAAAAGCCTAAGAGACCATCACAACTGAACAGATGACCGAACAGGCTGCATGGGGTAACCAGGCCCTCGGGGTGGGGGTGGGGGTGGGGGTGTTAGTGATGGATGACCAAACAACTGAGCAGCAGACTGCATTGGATGACCAGGCCGGCAGAGCTGTTAGTGAGGGCCGACAAGAGGACTAAGCAGAAGCTTGTATGGGGTGACCAGGCCCATAGAAGGGGCAGTTGGTGGTGAGCAGGCTGGCAGGGCGTGGGGGGGTGGGGGGCAGTGAATGAGAGAAATGGCAGTGAGGGGCAACCAGGCCTGCAGAAGAGGGCACTGAGGAGCAAGCAGGCTGGTGGGGGGGGGGGGGGTGCAATTAGGGGCGATCAGGTTAGCAAGAGGTGAGAAGGTGAGCAGAGGTGGCAGTTAGGGACGATCTGGTAGGCAGGCAGGTGAGCAGTTAGGAGCCAGTAGTTCCAGATTGTGAGAGGGATGTCCAACTGCTTGCCAGATGATCAGGCCTAAAATGGCATTTGGACATCCACCGAGGGGTCCCGGATTGGAGAGTTGGAGAGGGTGCAGGCTGGCCTGAGGGGACCTCCTGGACGAATTTTGTGCACTGAGCCTCATATATATATATATATATATATATATATATATATATATATATATATATATTCATTCCATCATTTTGATGTATGTACATAAGTATGTGCTTGATTTTTTAAAATTATTTATTTTGTTTACCACAAGTAAAACTCAAGAATTGTTCTCTCTCTCTTAAATTCTTTTTACTGTTTAACTTCATCACTGCTGTGTATGTGCTCCCTGAGAGTGATGCCGGTGCTTATGTAGGTGGGTTCCGACTCACGAAGAAAACCGCATTACCTGGCGCTGTAGGAGCAGATCGCCAACATAACCTGTGGACCTGCTGCATTGCCTTCAGGACCAACCACAAGACCAGGCACCTAGCAAGTATGTGACAAAACTTGCTATTGAACGCGTTTCCTTTGGTTTTCGGGGTGGGGAGCAGGCATCATGCGTGCTGCCTAACACATAGGACACACTCAATACATCTCTACTGAACAAATAGTTTGTATTCTGTGTCTCCAGGCTCTACTATTGCAGGACAGAGAATCTGCTATGTGCCCAGAGAAAGCTCAACCATGTTTGCTAAGGGAACAAGACAATCTCCGCAGCACTAAAACCCTCCAAGGGTCTCACGGTCAGGCGGGGCCATCACCGGTGCACGGAGGCACCAGCTCAGTAACAGGCGCACGGGCAGCGTCAGGAAAGCTACACGGAGACACGAGGGTTTCCTAAGGCAGCTGACATCCAGGGCTCAGAGCTGCAGAGCAGAGCTCAGCAAACTGTCGCTGTGGGCCCACTCCAGCTCACCACCCTTTTTTTGTTTTTGTTAATCCTGATCCAAGGATATTTTTTTCACTGATTTTTAGAGAGAATGGAAAGGGTTAAGGGGAAGGGGTGTGTGGGAAAGAAACATCAATGTGAGTGAGACACAGTGATTTGGTGCCTCATGCATATGCCCTGACCAAGACTGGTGCATCTGGCCTGCAACTGAGGTACATGCCCTACACTGGATTCCAACTTGGGACCCTTCAGTCCACGAGCTGATGGTTTAACCATTCAGCCAAGCCAGCTAGGATGTGCCACTCACTTTTGTATGGCCTGGGAGCTAATAAGTCTTTACATTTTAAATGATTTAATTTTTTTTTTTTTAAAGAATGGCATTAAAAACAACTCTATAGAATTCAAAGGACAATGTCCATGAGGAAAGGGTCATTGGAGCACAGCCTTGCCCATTTATTGACAGAGGGCCTAGGACCACCTCCTGCCCAGCGGCAGCATAGACTCACTGCCACAGAGACTACATGGCTTAACCTTCCATGTTGGCATTTCTGCCGCTCCCTGCACAGATGGAGAGAACAGCCTCCCAGGTCTGGGCGGGCCGCCAGCTCAGTCACTTTGTGGCTAGTGGTTATGTCCCATCCAGCCAGCTCTGCCGCCAGGTTGCCAGCCCCACCCCATCCCTCTCTGTGACTTTGCTGCCCAGGTCTCCCCTCTGGTCCAGGTCCATGTGAGGGGGGAGTGAGGAGAGAGCGCTCCAGGGCCACACAGAGTAGGGGGAGCCCAGTCATGCTCCTCCAGGAACTACTCCAGGGTGACCCCCCTCTGCTCCTGGGGCACAGGGACCCCCAGGCCTGGTGCTGGGCCACACCCCTCTTCTGGATGCCTCCTGGTGGAGAGGCCCATCTGGGTGGCAGGTTCTCCTGGTGGCTGAGGGTACTGTGTTCTGGGGTGCTGGCATCGTGGGGCGGGGCAGAGTGCTGTGTCCCTGCTGGGCATCAGGTCCTCACTGTGGAAGCTTTCGGGCCTGCAGTGGAGCAGGCGCCTTGGAGAAACCTGGTGTGAGGGTGAGGGCACACAGAGGGACACACGTCAGTCTCTCACTCTCGCTCACCTGCCTCCGGTGGGCTGTGCTGCCTCCTGCTCACAGAACACAGGGAGCCCTGCTGGGGCACCAGAGCACACTTCTCCCAGGCTGGCTTTGGGGGTGTCAGGACATGCTGGAATTCCCTACAAGTTCACGCTGGGATTTCAAAACAAAATAAGGTGGGAGGAAAGTGCAGAGCTTCTGCTAAAGCTGAGATTAGCAACAGCTGTGAGGCCCCACAGCCCTTGGGACAGCACAGACAGACCATCTTCTGCACCATTAACAAGCTTACACACCATAAAGGAATCACACTCACCCCGTGTCCTCTGACCACGATGGACCGGAACTCCCCGCGCTGTCCCCATCTGGAAGCTGCAGGAACTCAGGCTCGGAGGATGGGTAGCTCACACAGGCGCCCAGAGCTGGTCAGAGAGGAGAAGGGACCTGTCCCCAAATCCAAGAAAACTCCCAGGCCTGAGCCTGTAACTGAATGACGTGCTCTGTGAGGCCAACCCATCAAGCTTTGAAGAATTGCTAATTGTCTTCTTTAAATCACACAAATCACACCAAGCCCACAGCGGAGATCCAGGGGCACTGGAAAGTGCCCAGAAGGAGGCTGACTTACCTTTCAGGCCGCCAGGTGAGCGGTCACTGGCAGCATCCCTGCGGCTCTCTAAGCTGCCTGGCCGGGACCCTGAGAGGAGAGGACCACCCTGAACCAAAGGGCCGCTGACCCAGTCTAACCCAGACTACACCATCCAGTCCGCACAGAGGACAGAGCAGAGCGATTCTGCCACAGCTCAGGCAGCGCCCTCAGAGGGACAGACCCAGGTTCTAGAGACGCCCTAGGAGGGGTCTCTCCTCCCCTGAGTGCCAGGCCCTGTGCCCAGTGGGCATGGCTGTGTGAGATTGACAGCCTGTGCTTCTGTGTCTGTGAGGTCTGGGGCTGGGGCTCAGTGTTGTTAACAGAGGAAATTTCACACAGAATTCCGGTAGAGACCAAACAGGGCGGCTCTGGGAAAGGAAGAGTTGGAGGGGTGGGGAGCCCACCCTTAGGACACATGGAGCTTCTAGAACATGTGGAAACACGCTGCCTAGACCAGGACAGTGGCACCGGGTGAGGGCAGGAGCCAGGACAGGGCAGAGTGTGAGTGCCCATGAGTGCACAATAGAGCCGGTGCCCTCTCTGGGGGCAACTTCGCCTCGGTGGTCTGAGGGGGTGGGTGCTGGGGCCTCAGAGGAAAGACTCCGCTTCACTGAAGGGATGTAAGCAGGAGCTGCAGCTTAGGCCTCTCAGTGTGGGGGGAGGGGGGGTAAGAGAAGGGGTGTTGAGGAGCTGTGGGTCCCCATTCCCCCTTCAGCATTAACACCTCCACTTTACCTCCTGTGGGTATGGGGCTTGCACACAGGCCTTACTTGAAGGAAAAGCACTGTTGATGGAAACAGGTGTAAGAGCCCAGGCTGAAGGGCACCACATACAGCCCCCTCCCCGTGCTGCCTGCGGTGGGAACTCCAGCTCCAGGGACCTCTCTCAGGGGCTGGCATCTGAATTCTAGCCTGCGGAGAACATAAGGCTGGAGAGCCTGCAGACATGAAACATCCATGGGGAATCCTGGGCCTTTTGCGAGAAGCACCTCTGACTCTGACCCAGCCTCTGAGTCCTGGTTGTGTCCAGCTCCTGGAGGAGGGAGGGACAGGTGGACCGTGCCCTTAGGGAGCAGGTGCCTGCCTGTCCTATCGCTCCTCTGTTTCTCCTGCTGGGACAGCCTCACACTCAGGACTCTCTGTGACTTAACTTTAAGTCACACTTCCGCCTGCACAATGACTGGCACTCCAAAGGACAGCAGTGTCCTGGCCTGAGGGCCCTGCAGCACAGGCAGCTGACACTTAGTGTCCCGGGAGCCCCTCCTACCAGCTGCACCGAAAGCAGGGCCCTGAGAGCAACCCTCTCCCAGGGCCTGGGCTCTCCCGGGGCTGGAGGAAGGAAAAGGAAAGAACCACCACCTGAGGGAGGATGTGGGCTCCCTAGAGACTGAGCCTGCACCAGCAGCTCCTCCAGCAACGGCCAGTATCCATGGGCCACCGGTCACTGCTCTTCCCTGAGAAGGACTAAGATGCCCTGTGCTCAGGCCTGCCAGCTGCTCTCTGACAGCAGCCCTGGACCCCTCCAAACTGACACCAGGGTCTCCATTATGCAGACAGCTCTAGGTCCACCTGAGTGTGAGCACTGGGCTGCCAGGGAAATGGCCGTGGGCAGTGCTGGGTGTGCAGTGTGAGGGGCCCTCGGCAGGCTCCACAGGCATCTGAATAGGCCTGGGCTCTGGCTCAGGGTGGGATCCAGGCTGAGACAGCCCAAGGGTTAGCCTGGAGGGGTGGGTCTGGAGCCAAATAGGCTGCTGGCAGACCCAGGGGAGGTGGTGCTCCTGGCTCCTACTGGAGCCCAGGCAGGGCTCCTGCTCTGCCGAGCCTGGGAGACCTGACCGACTGCTGAGTGCCCACAAGGGACAGCCTGCCCCAGCCACACAGGGCACCGTGACTCTGACACCCAAAAGTGAGTGGCTGCCGTTTCAGAGTCTGGCCAGGAGCACAGAGAGACTGCCTCCTGCCCTATGCTCACTCACCTCATCTTCTCCCAGGGGAGCTTCTGATTTGAAAACAAGGGGCCAGGTCCTGAGGCTGCCCCATGCAGCCTTGAGGGCAGAACCCTGGCTGTCTTGCTGGGCTTGTCAAACCATAGCTGCCAGGTCCTGTGGGAGGTAAGATTATGAAAAATCATAACCCTGTGTCTTCTCGTCAGCTTCTAACACCCAGGACAGTCCTTTTCAGCTTCCTGCTGTCCTCAGATATTTCATAGAAGCAGAATGTCTTTTTAAGTGTTCAGCTTTATTTCTCCCTTTCTGTTGCATCTTTTAAATTTCTGAGTGCTCTTCCCCAGATGCTCCTTTTCATAGCATCCTGCTCGGATTTCACTGGGCAGAGTGGCTCACTCTGAGGTCATGAGGGGCATTTGAAAGCTTTTGTCTCTGCCCAATGCCCGCTGGCTCTGTTGCTCTCACATTGGTTTGTCTCCTCTGGTGCCCGGGGACCCTGACCTCTCATGGCTCCCCCTGGCAAGATGTGACCCGACTGCTCTGCTGGGAATGTCTCCTGCTAATCAGATGCCTTGAAGAGGATGTAATGTCCCATCTAAGGTGTGAGCACGCATGGCTACTGGCATCCGGAGACATCCAGCCTGTCCATCCCTCTGAATCCCTTGTTTTTCCATCTAGGACCCCTGCCCTCCACTCCATGGACCAGCCTCCAGTGCAGGGACCCTGTCAAGTCTCCTCCTTGGAGAATACATCTCCAATGTTGCCTGATTTTAGCCCAAACTCTTGTTCATTCATCTCTATTCAGGAGCCACTCGGTGCCACCAATCTCTGACCAGTGGTGTGGGTTCCAGGTCTCAGGCCCAGGTCTCCAGATGGCAGAGTTACCCTCCCAAAGCCGCACAGCTGTAGGCGGAGCTGAGCTCTGAACCTGAGTCTGTGGGACACCAAACCTGTCCACAGCTTCACCCACCTGCTGACCACCTCTCAGGCTGAGCGGCGCCTCTTGCCCCTGTGAACCGGGGTCTTTGGGAAGGACCTCTGGCTGAGATGCTCACCCACTTAGTTCTAGAGGGACCCGTGACTCACCGTGGGTGCAGCCTGGGTGCCTGGACATGGACGTGGAGGTGGAGCTGGAAGGAACTGAAGTGATGGCTGCGGATGAACAGGCCCCGGAGCCCAGCTCTGATGGTTAGCGGCGACATCCATGTGCTCAAGGCTGCCTCTGGGTGGAGCCACTCCCTGCGGTATGAGGTCCCAGGGCCTGGGGCAGAGAAGGGCAGTGAGAAATGGAGCTGCAAAATCCCATGCCAAGGTGGGGCGATCACAGTGAGGCCTAGAAGCAGAGGCAGCAGGGCCCAGGGAGCCCAGGGACAAGAGCTGGGCTGTGTGCCTCACAGATCGGGGTCTAAGGGGAGGCCCTGGCGGCAGCCTGAGCTGGAGGCCCCGGTCTGCTGGCCCCGACTCTAACCATGGCTCACAGTGTGTGCCGCCAGCAGCTGGGAGAAAATAAAGGATGAGCTCAGGAGGCTCAACAAAATGTTGGTAAAAGTCCGACATGTTAACTACTGGGCCCACCCGCCGAGCCACTCAATCCCTGATGTGAGAAGACCAGGCCTGTGGCTGCTGGGACCACCCCGACCTGTGGTCCAGGCCCTCAAGCTCAGGAGGGGAACCCTGCCAACAGGCTTCCCTTATGATTTCACAAAGAAGTTCACTGTCACCCTAACAGTCATGTGTTTAAGGAGTTTTCATCTCTACATGGTGACTTTGACTCAAGAATGATTTTTACCTTCTATTTGTTGCAATCTGAATTTTTTACTGTGAACATATACTCTTGGCAAAGTTAAATAAAATACTAGTAAACACAACACCCACAGTGGGGAGAAATACACACCTAAAAGACCTTCACCTACCTCCTTAGGAGAGGGCATGGGCTCTGCAAATACAAGTGAAAAAATGCGGTTGCAGTTCCAGGGAGCATCAGGACAGGCTGGTTGGCACAGTGTCCTGCTCCAGGCAGCCGGAGGCCTAAGGACCCAGAGCCACGCCCACTGAGGGTATTTGGGCCCCTCCACACTCTCCCAGGACCTGACCCTTCTCTGCCCCTCAGCCACCCAGTGCCTGGACTCACTGGGAAGTTGAAAGCAGCCAAGCCTTGCAAATTGAAATCATGGAAAAATTTGGATTCTGAAGGATAAGCTTCATGAGGAGCAGGATTGAAGTCTGGTGGGATGAATCTGGCAGGCGTCCACTGCATGATGTCAGCATGAGGAGCAGCGGAGAGGTGGAGATGCCAGACAGCAGCCAGGGCAGAGAGACTGTGTTTCCGACAGCATGTTGGGCAGGCAGGTGGGGTCCAGCATATGGCAGCCCAGGAGTCAGAGCGGTGCATGCCATGAAGTCAGTGCCACATCAACTGACAAGAACAGTGCAATAGTCACCCGTTTACTTTTACAGTGACCTTGTGTTTATAGTGACAGTGGTTTTCCACTCACAGTACTGATAAACATCTTCCCTTTTAAAATAAAATGGACAGAGCAAGTCATATGTAATAATATGAATAGAATATGAATAATCTATAATATGATATAGACTTTGCAAAATCGTGGAGGTGATACGAGGAAGGCTGAAGACAGAAAACAATGCAGTAGCTAAAGGCCTCCGTGGACCAGCGCTCCCGGCTGATGGTGACTGTGAGCTGATTCCTGTCTGGCCACAGCTGCCCTCCCAGCAGCATCCAAGACATCAGAGGACCTCAGCACGGTCCTACAACATCACTCTGGGATGAGCCCTGGCTTGGCAACATTGACCCAATTTTATTTGAGGTGCTGAGTGGAGCAGCAAATTCTTCAAAACACGGAGCACATCTAAAAAGGGACTGCTCCACAAAAGCCAAGTTCTGTGCTCTGACACCGGAAGTGGAGAAAAGGGCAGCAGATTTAAAGTTAGCTGCCCAAAAACGAGTCTTAAAAAAATCTCACTTGACAGGGACCACAGAGTTCCGGAAGCCTAGCAACAGCTGATGCGTTCTGTGCTGCAGGTGCAATGAGGGGCTGGCACTGGGCCCGGGACTCACTCAGCATGGACACTCTGGCCCAGGGAACTGGGCAGGGATGCCCCGAGGCTCCCCTCACACTGGCCGCACTAGAATACGGTTCAGAGGCTGTGACAACAGTTCTCTTTTTCAGTCAGAATCCACGTTGGTACTTGAAGCTTGGCTTGGAATTTGGGTCAGGAGGAGGGGTCCACTATGGGTCATCTGGCCTTTAGCTACTGTTTTTCTGCTTGTCTGTCTGAATTTCAGCCATGAAGGAAGACACTGCTGAAGGGAAAGGATTAGAAATCCCAGTGTCTGAGAAAGGGAGGGGCTAGTCAGAAGCAGGTGCGATGTCAGAGGAAGACCAGAACCTCAGGGCTGTAGAGAAAGCCAGGTGGGCAGATGGAGACTAGGCTTTGTCCTTCTTTCCCCTTCTCCAAAAGCGATACTTTTTGCGCTGAGTTACTAAATTGTTACACCCCCCCCCTCCCCCCAATAACACAAGAGAGGAAGGGAAAAACAGAACAAAACAGCAAATAAATGAAATGAATAACAACAAAGGACTCCATTAGCTAAATGTTCTTGGGATATCAGAGTCCTTCCTGCCCAGGAGAGTTGGAAACAATATCCTCGGCACAACCAGAATCAGGACTCGGTGAACCATTATGCTCTGACTCTGCTTAATTCATTTAGTGGCGTCCTGTGCCAATGCTTTACTGAGCACATGAGGAGGATTCTATTTGCTCTAGGAGCTGATGCCTTAGACTATTTTTCAATGTCAATGTGTTGAATTATTAAATAAGAATTTTATTAGTTTAGGACCTGGTCTTTCTTACTCCTCTGCCCTCCCTGACAACTTGGCTCACACACAACTAGTAATTCCTGCTCCTGTTCGAAGACCTTGGGACACTTCCTGGGATGCTTCTGGCTGCTGCAACAGGACAGTCTACCTGAACTGCTCACTGATGATCCTTGTACATCTGAAACAGCCTCTTATGGAAGGATGAGTTTGAAATACCTCTGTTTCATACCAAAACACTGTGAACACATTGAGAATTATTCCCATTTAGATCCCTATGCATCTTCTGCAAACCTACACTTCATGACCTTTGAATTATGGAGTCTTATCAGAGCAGACAATTGGCCTAATTTCCTGAACATGTACCTGAGCATAACTGTTTTATCTGATTTCTGATTTCTGATTCAAGTCCATAGCAGGACCCCTGTTATTTCTCTTTCCACAGCACCACCTGGTGGCCACAGCTCACATCACAGCAGAAGGGACCCACTACGCAATGCTGGTGCTCCAGGCTTGTCAGCACCTTCAGGGGCCAAAGCAGCTTTAACTGCAGGCAGTGCTCACAGTGGTTATGAGCTCAGGCTCCATAATCTGTCAGGCCCTGGTTCTGAACCCAGCTCCACCCCTTATTCTCTGGGCAAGCACTTAACCTTGTCAAACCTCACTTGCCCAGCCCTGCAAAGGGGATAGGAATCCTGGCTGCCTCACATGGCATGTGGAACTAAAGGAGAGACATAAAGTGTGAAACTAGCTAAAGGGTGCTGAGCCCAGAAAGAGCACCATTACAGGCTGCTGTTACTAATATCTACCACTGACTTGCACATTCACAGATCCAAACAGCTGTTTGTTTGTTAATCCTCACCCGAGGATATTTTTTTCAGAAAGAGTGGAAGGGAGCGGCAGTCAGAGAGAGTAACATCTATGTGCGAGAGACACATTGATGGGGTGCCACCCACACACCTTGACTGGACCCAGCATTGAGCCTGCAACTGAGGTATGTGCCCTTGACCAGAACCAAACCCTGGACTCGTTAGTTTGAGGGCCGACCCTCTAACCACTGAGACAGACTGGCCAGGGCAGTCTTTTTTCTGAGTTTCGCTAGCTCAGTTAGGCTGATTATCGTTGATTAAGTCAACTTAGACAATAACACAAGTGGTTATGTAGCCTGAATGAAAACCAGAGACAACAGACGCCTCTAGATCAATGTTAATAAGCTTCGATATAATTTACCTGCACGTGAGTGTTTTACCTAATCACCTCCTATAAAGACTGGGAATGCAAGCATGATTCCCAAACTCTGGTATGGATGCGTGTGCACACTTTGTTTTTTGTGTTTGGAGGGACACACCAGGACCTGCGGTGGTGACTGTCACCCAGAAAGGTGAGTGCACAGGTCACACTCAGCAGGCGCTGGTCACAGGCCCTCGATGCTGTCACAGCCGCCCCTGAGGGCCGAGTCCCAGGCATGGGCTGGTCTCAGGAAGTCCTGGTGTCCTTCATCAATGTAAATGCTCAGGGTGCACGTTTGGCAGGCTTCTAGGTAAGCCATGTAGGATATAATATTTAAAAGTAAATTGAAAACTAAACCATGTTTAAGGCAAGTAAGATGCGCTTTCCCCATCTCCCAAACCTTAACATCCCTGAAATCAGGTTGCAGCTTCGAGCCTGTCTCACAGTCACTGTTGCCCAGGTGGCAATTCTGACAAAATCTCCACTGCCACAACCCATTCATCTTCTTTTTATGTGAGCCCTTGTCCTGACAGCCTCTAGATGCCATGAAATACATAGAGCACATGCAACTGGAGATCCAATTCAGAGCCTACGGCGACTCCACAGGACAGCCCAGAGTGACGAGTACAGCGCGCCCCGTGGTGGCGGACTTCTCCAGATCAGGCTGGAGAGGAAAGCGGACCGCTTTTCGGGGACAGAACGATCAGAGCCACGGGAGGCCTCGCTGGAGACCTTGCCTCTGTCCATGAGGCGCTCAATGCACCGCGGAGCTCCCTACAGAAAGGGCCTCTTGTAGGCCTGGAGGAAACCGGGAACCCCAAACACAGCCTCTGTGGCAACTGTGTGGACATCAGCTCTGGATATCCGAGTCCCGCACACAGTGTCCATGATGCGTGAGGCTCCTCTGCTACAGGCCCTGAACTGTTCTGAGACAAAAGTGCAGCAACACTGTGGGTGTTCACATACCTCAGGAGGCAGATGTGTGTGTGTGTGGAGCACGCCCCCTTCAGGCTCCTACACACACACACACACACACACACACACACACACACACACACGTCTGAACACCCAGCATGCAGTCTCCTTGGTTCTCCCCTGTCCCTGATGGCAACCTGAGATGCTCCCCTTCACTTCCTGCCTGCAGCCAGGTCCGCTCCTACCTTTTCCCTCGTGCCCCCTGCAGGCGTCTTGCTCTTCTGTCCTCTTTGAGCAGCGTGAGGTGGCCTCCAGGGGCTCCGGCTGGGATTGAAGAGGCTGAGAAGTGTTGAGCTCAGACGGCTCTGCTTGTTCTCTGGAACTCCCTTTCTTTCTTCTGATGAATTTCAGAATGGCTTTGGCTCCAATCCAGCGCTTCTTCCTTTAAGAGGAAGGTTTTCAGGACACAGCCAAGCCTCACTGCCCCCAGCAGGTCCCTGGGTGCCTACACGAGCTGGGATTTCCTTCACCAGCCTGGGAAGGTGGCGGTTAGCTGGTTCAGGATGAGGGTGCTCTTCAGCATCGCCACGCTCATCCCACCTGGGGCTCAGGAGGGGCACACGGACCCAGGGATGGTGAAGCCTTCCTCCTGGCAGGAGCCCACTCTAGCCCCTCGGGAAAACAGAACCCCCAACCCAGCTCTCAGCTCTGTTCCTGTGCCAGGTGCAGGAAGCGGTGCCGTGCTGACCGAATCATGCTGGTTGGCAAAATTCTACCAAAATGCCATTTTCTGCTAGAGCTAATAACACGTGGAAGGGGCTGGTATACTCTGGCCGTTCCCGGCAGTGAGGAGTCTGGGTGAGAGGAAGAGGGCAGGAGAGTGGGCCGCTTCAAGTAGAAACAGCGAAGCCTGGCCGGGAGCCCGGTGGTTGGAGTGCGGGCCTGAGCACTGAAGGGCGGCGGGTTTGAGCCCCCATCAAGGGCACATGCCTGGGTTGCAGGTTCAATCCCCAGCCTCAAGGTGTGTGCAGATGGAAACCAATTGATGTGCCTCTCTCACATCGATGTCTCTCTCTCTCTTTCTCCCCTTTTCCTACCCCCCTCCCTTCTACTCTCTCTAAAAATCAATGGGAAAAATATCTTCAGGTGAGGATTAAAAAAATAATCAATGGAAACAGTGAATGTAAAGGTAATACGCTACAGCTAACAGGAAATGAGGCATTCTAATGTCACAAGGACCACAGCTGGGTTCTGATCCTGGCTCTGCCATAAACAGCACTGTGCTTACACAGCCACTCCATTTCCTCATCTGTGTCTCAATCTCCCTGTCAACAAAAGGGTCAGGCAGAATTCTGTGGTTCTGTGATTCCTACAGAGAGGCCCTGCGGATTCATGTGATTTGACCTCAAGGTTGGGCTGGGACAGGTCAATGGGAAGGCCCAGAGCCTGGGCTCAGGCCGGGCCCAGGGGAAGCCCTGCTGCTGGCAGACTTGGGGACCCAGAAGGCTCACCGCCAGGGCTGATGCTCTCTGCAGAAGGGAATGTGTGTGTGAACCGCCCTGGGGGGTCCAGTGACCCCAGAGGAACGGAAGTCTGAACAAAAGGTTCCTGTGCTTGAAGACAGGGATGGGCGTCCAGATTCTGACCCAAGCTTCCTTCCCAAAACAGAACATGGTTTTCTAGGTCCCGCAATCTTGAGACCAAGCCTGATACGCCTGTTTTAGTGGCTCTAAAAGCTCAGACTCTCTTCCCCTTAATCAGGCTCCTGGCCAGCTGTCATTCACCATCAGCATAGGATAACCCTCAGTACAGAGGGCAGGACTCAAAGAAACGCTAAATTCTTTCGGTGCTGGGAGGGACCTGCACACAGGGCAGCTGCCATACAGTGGAATGTATGGGCCCAACAAACTGGTCACTGCTCTAGATGCTACAGCTTTCCCTACTCGTAAAAGATCAAGCTTGTCTTCCGTGTGTAAGTTACTGACGCTTAGATCAACTCACTTCTTTGGCGCTGGATCATGGAACTTGTGCTCAGCCATGCTTTGTTCCTCCAGGTTTTCATTCATTTTCTGTGAGGAATGTAATTTGTCTCTAACAGAGAAGAGAGAAAAAACAATCTGGTTTTTAAAATAAAACACATGAATTGATTCATCAGCCCTGCCTGGGACCTGGCCCAGAAGGAGCTGGTGTGTTTCTGGGACTCAGACATCACAGTGCTCATGGCCACCATGACCGCTGAGTTGGGAATCTGGGGGTGGAAGCAAGTGACGTGGGTCCAGGACCCCTAACATGTTGAGGAGACCGGCTGGCTGAACACCTAGGATCAGGCTGTACGTCACCCCAGGAGAGCAGACCCAGAACCACCTGAAACTCAAGCTGGGGAACCCCGAGGATTCCAGAGTGGTCAGCTCAGGAGCTTAGGTCCTCGGGTCAGACACAGGGCTAGGCTCGCTCCTGTGGGTGCAGACCAACGAAGCCTTTAGTGAGGGAGGGGTCTGCCCTCCGGGAGTTAGACGGGCATCAGGTGACAAAGGTCAGTTTAGCAACGTCAGACTTCCGACCTGGTCCCACTCCAATGTTAGGCTTCTGCTCACACTTCCAGGGAAGTAAACTCAAAGCCTTTCGGGGGCCAGACAGAGAAGATAGGAGCAAAGCGGCCTGGGAGGACCAGGAGGGGGTGGGACCTGCGGTGAGGCTCGGTGCATGGTGCCAGGTGGGACCTAACGCAGGGCCTGCAATCGGAGCCCCGCTCTCCATGTGGCAGAGCTTCTGATTGCTTTTCTCCAAGGATCCAGAAGCCCAGGCTCTGAAATACAATCTCTTCATTTCTAAATGTGGGAAGTCAGTGCACATTTTCAAAAAGCTGAAAGGATCAGAGAGACACATCTTAAGTCCTGGGCTTCCAGAGGGCTCCCCGCTCCTGGGAGAGGGAGCCTGGCCTTCCCGAAGCTGATGGCATGGGTGCTTTCCTGCTGGGTGTCTAGGAGCCGTGCCTGCAGTGCTCGCTGCACAGCTTCCCCCACTGGGCCGCTGGCTTCAGTCCTCTTCCTGCTTCTCCTCACCCCTGTGGCCGTGACAGCTCAGACCCCTGCTTTCCCTGCTTGAGAGTGAGAGTTCAGTATCGAGGCAGGTGCTCAGGCTCCTTAGGTCATAGGGTGCCCAGGCCCCACTGCAAAGTGAGCCCCGTGAAAAGTGATCTCTTGCTAACTGCTGGGCCCTTGGCCCCTAACCTGGTCTGTTCCCAGTGCCCTTGGCTCGGCCTCTGTTCTTATAGTCTGTGTTTTTCTCTTCCCAAGGCCGACCCCCAGTCCTATAAAGTCATAGCCTAGCTATCCTAGGGCTGGGGAGGTCTCAGCTTAGAGCAGGCTCAGGAAGCCTGCCCACTCCCTGGCCTCCTGCAGACACTTTCGATGCAAAACCATCATCAGATCGTCCCAAAAGCAGATTAAGAAACGTCAGGCAGGGACAGCGTCTTTGAAAAGCCAACAAAGCCAACCACCCCTACTTGCAGAAATCTAGAACCATTCCAGGGAAAGCAAGATAAAGATGCGCTGGTTAGATGGTCTGTCCCCTTGCCCTGGGGCCCCCAATGCGCCCAGTGGTCCTCTGCTGCGCAGAAGGGGGCAGTTAGTCTTGGAGCTGGAAGCCACGCCCCCTCTGTTGAAGGGCATCCATCAGCCCACACCCCTCCCACATACTGCCTCTGCTCCTCATGGTGCTGGTCCTTGTTCTCCATGTCCTCCTGGAGAAGCCTCTGGTTCTGCTCATTCAACCTGAGGACTTGGCTCTGCAGTTGAGAATTTTCTTCCTCCACGTTCCTCCTGAGACTGGAGAGACGCTAAAACACAGATGGGCAATGTCTCAAACACCACACACTCCCATGATTCCACTGCTGGGAAGCTACTTCCAAAAGAAGAAACAGGCCACGTGCACAAAGATGGCCACTTTGGTATTATCTGCTGGAATGACCAATGTGGCCAATGCCACGAAGACAGCCAAGCCTTCTGCCACTGCACCGTCCAATCAGGCAGCCAGTGGCCACGTGTGGCCGCTGAGCACTGAAAACACAGCCAGTCTGAGCTGAGAAGTGCCATAAGTGCAAAATATATAATAGGTTCAAAATATATAATGAGATATTTTACATTGTTTTTTAATTGTTAGTAACAATTACTAACAATTAACAACTTAAAAATAATGTAAAATATCTCATTTATAAGCTGCCCGACGCTGTGGCTCAGTTGGTTGAGCGTCTCCCCATGCACCAAGAAATCAGCAGTTTAATTCCTGATCAAGGTACATGGCTGGGTTGCAGGCTTCATTCCCCAGTAGAGGGCATGCAGGAGCATCTGACTGATGTTTCTCTCAAAAAATCAATAAAAACATTATTTTAAAAATCCCATTAATAAACTTTTGGGGTTATATGTGACATTTTAGATATAATCCTATCTAATAAAAGAGTAATATGCAAATTGACCATTATTCCACACACAAGATGGCAGCCCCTATGTGGACACATTCCACACACAAAATGGCCAGCAGGGGAGGGCAGTTGGAAGGAACAAGGCTAGCAGGGGAGGGCAGTTAGGGGTGACCAGGCCTGCAGGGTAGGGCAGTTAGGGGGGACCAGGCTAGCAAGAAGGGCAGTTGGGGGCAAGCAGGTCTTCAGGGGAGGGCAGTTAGGGGCAATTGGGCTGTCAGGGGAGCAATTAGGCATAGATCAGGCTGTCAGGGAGTGGTTAGGGGGTGACAAGGCTGGCAAGTAAGAGTAATTAGGTATGACCAAGTCAGCAGGGGAGGGCAGTTGGGGGCAACCAGTCTAGCAGGTGAGGGCAGTTAGGGGTGACCAGGCTGGCAGGGAAGGGCAGTTAGGGGCAACTGGGCTGTCAGGGGAGCAGTTAGGCATAGATCAGGCTGGCACGGGAGTGGTTAGGGAGTGATCAGGCTGGCAGGCAGAAGCAGTTAAGGACAATCAGGCAGGCAGGCAGGTAAGCCTTTGGGAGCCAACAATCCTGGGTTGTGAGAGGGATGTCCATCTGCCCACTGGGCCTAAATGGGCATTTGGGCATCCCTAGAGCGGTCCCAGAATAGAGAGGGTGCAGGCTGGGCTGAGGGGCACGCCCCTATGCAGAAATTTTGTGCACTGGGCCTTTAGTGGTTAAATAAAATAGACCATTGCATTAATCCCACTGTCTCCTTTTACTTTTTTAATATGGCTACTATAAAGTTGAGTATCACATGTGGTGGCCTGCATTATATTCTTATTGGACATCTCTGCTTTAGGCAGGGTTGGCACACTTTTCCTGTCAAGAGCGAGGCACTAAATATGTCAGGCTTTCCAGGCCGATAGTGGTCTCTGCTGCAGCTGTTCAACTCTGTCACTACAGCAGGAAAGGGCTAGAGATACAATGTACACACATGGGTGTGGCTGTGTTTAAATATCAAACCATAAATCTTTATTCATGGACACCAACATTTAAATTTCATATAATTTTCACTTGCCCCCAAATATTACCCTACTTTTGATTTTCCCAACCTTTAAACACTGTGAAAGCTAATCTTGATTCACAGCCTTACACAAGCAGGCATGGGGCTGGACCTGAATTTGGGGCTGAGGCTGGCCAGCTCCTGCTCTAGAATATCATTTTGTTGGTGAGCAGCAAAGTCCCAAGTTTTGGCTTCAGACAAATGGGATTCCAACCTGCTACTTCAGAGGGACAAGGATGGGAATCTCAGCTCATAGGTCATTGTGAGAATTAAATGAGATGACACAGATGAAGTATGGTAGCATCATACTTAGGTAAAAACTGCTGTTTGAATTTTAACCCTGCTTTTCTGGCTTTGACACTCGCTTACTTGCTTAAACAATAGGGTAGTTGCCTCAGCTTCCAGATTGAGACCTGGAGGCTAAGGCAGTTTTCCTGAGCCTGTGGGCCAGGACCACAGGAGACTGATTCCCACTGACTCAGTAGCTTCAGGAGTAGAAACTGTAGATAACCTTTAGAGATTAACCGCTGAGCTCTGCTTCTGTACTATCTGCTTTTGCAAGATAGGGCCACATTCTAATGTCCAGAAGGATGTGGCCGGGATCGACCCTGCGGGCTGTTCCCAGCCTTTAGAATTTAGAATTCAGAACAAAGGAAAATTCTTGTGACTTGGACCTTTAAAAGGACTGCCTACACCTGAAACAGTGCAGTCGTGTGGACTCCACCTACGTGTGCTGCTCTCACGGCTGTCCTGGCCAGTTCAATAAATCCTTGCCTGCTGTTTTTAATCAATCATCAGCCTCTGGTGGTCTTATTTTGAACCCAGGGTTGGACCTCACAACAACAGAGAGCAGAGTGCCAGTCGAAAGGATGGAAATAAAATGGTACTTGGCTGTTTCCATGCACTGCGCCAACCCTGCAATAGGCTAAGATGGGGTGAACGGTGTTTTGTAGCACACCCCTGCCAGTCATGGTGTTTATCCCAGCCACCTGCCTCCGGCTTTCCCTCCGCCTCTGTGTGACATTCACACACACCCTTTGAGCAGAGATGCCAATGAGGACTCATTCAGACCAGGCTGAGCCCAAGGCCTCAGCCCGGGGAAAAGGCCCATCCAGGGTGCTGTGCCCTCCAGCCCCAGGCCTCACCTGGCAGTGGTTGCTCATCTCTGTCAGGGAGATGTTCATGCTCTGGAGCTCCTCCCTCTGCCAGTTGCACTGCGCCTGCCAGCTGTTAACTTCCAGCTGGCTGTCATGCAGGGAGCTTTGCAGCTTCTTGGTGTGGATCTGCAGCTCCTCATGCTCCGTTTTCAGTTCCTCATGCAGGGCCTGCCAGTGAATGGCCTCCAGCTGTGTGTTGTTCAGGGAGGTTTGCATCTCCTTGGTGTGGGCACACAGCTCCTTGCTATGCGCTTGCAGCTCCCTGCTGTGGGCATGCAGCTCCTCCTGCTCCTCCTTCAGCCCCTTGCACTGGGCCTGCTAGCGGTTCACTTCCAGCTGCCTGGCACTGAGGGAGGTTTGCAGGACCTTGTTGTAGACCTGCAGGTTCTCCTGCTTCTTCCTCAGCCAGTTGCACTGCTCCTGCCAGCACTTCAGCTCCTGTTGCCTGTCATTGAGGGAGCTTTGCAGCTTCTTGGTCTGCTCCTCCTGCTCCCACTTCAGTCCTTTGCACTGGGCCTTCAGGCGGTTTACCTGCAGCTGTGAGTTCTCCAGGGAGGTTTGCAGCTCCTTCTGCTCCCCCTTCAGCTGCTGGTGCAGGAAACTGGCCCTGGGGTTGGAAAGACACAGGGCCAAGGGCTGAGGAGCACTCCCAGGCTCTGTCCCAGTTGTGCAACCTTAATCAAAACCACAACCTCTCTGGGCCTCAGCTTTTTCATGCATTAATGAAGGGTGGAGCAAATCAGCGGTTTTCAAACTGTATTCATTGGGGTTCTAGGTGTCCCACTGTGGGCTGTGGGACAGGACAGGACAAGCAGGCTCAGACACTATTCCACAGAGCATCCCTTTGGAGTCCTTACTATGTGCGGCTTTGGCACGGCTGCCTACTTGAAAAAAGGGTCCTTTGATTCAAACACTTAAGCAGGGGATCAGAAAAGCTTTGCTCTAAGGCGCTTTGTCTCTGCCTAGCTCTTCTCCCCAATTCCAACCCCTTTCTAATTCCCACACCTGAGATCAATAAAATAGGAGATTCTGCAGCGTTACGTAAACTCACTGAAATGATCACCATCATCATCATCATCATTATCCAACTGGGAATCCTGGGGGAAGATTTATACCAAAAAGCTCCTATGACCAGAGGCTTATGGACTCAATTTGAACACAGGTGTGTGAAGTTTGGCCCACACAGCTTTCTTTTTTTTAATTAAACATTTATTTTATTTCATTTTAAATCGTGTATGGTTTTATTAATTGATGTCTCCCCAATAAAGTCAACTACAAAAAAATAAAATACATAAAGGAAGGAAACAGGAAAAGATGAAAAGATTTCTCCGTTGTGGTCCTGTAACCTAAACCCGGTTTAAGAGTCCCCAGATTCAAAAATGTTTCCAGGTCCTCCTGGCCCTCTGGCCCGTCCAAACAAGCAGCTTTGTTTTTTTAAAAACAAACAAACGAAGTATTTTATCAGCATTCAAAAATTTCAAGTTTCACATCAACATTCAGGTATCTTTTTCTCAGGGGGAAAAAAAAGCCTGAAGAATGATGACCTGCAGCCTGGCCTGCCTCCCAGCTGACAGCCTTTAGCCTGGGAGTGTTCTCCACCAGGGCTGGCCTATGGCTGCCTCTCCTTCCCCGCCCTCGGGACCTGCCCGGCCACTGCAGGCCGCTGAGTTTACAGCCCCACAACACATGTGAAAGCAGGGCCGTGCAAAGGGAGGCTTCATATGGTCCTGCCTCTGGGTTGAGGCAAGATCTGGATTCAAATCCTGCCTGTGCCACTAACTAGGAGCACTGACCTTGAACAAGTTGTGTCATCTCCCTGAGCCTGTTTCCCCCTCTGTTGCTGCGGTTTTCTTAAGGGATAGCAATAGCTCTGCCAATTCTCATGATTCCCAGTATAAAGTTCTACCCAGCCACCTGGACACTGACTTAGTGTATACTGACTGTTCCCACCGGTTCCTGGGAGTTTCTGGTGACATTTTGTCTACTGATGAAGACATAAAGATGCCTGCTGTACACTCACAGCCAGCAGCACCATACCTGGGCCTGAATGACCCCGTGTGCCACTCGTATATTCCCCCTGAGGCCCAGGGCAGCCTTGCACCAGGGAACACTAGACAGCCCTTCAGCACTCCCTTTGGGGGCCATTTCATACAGGGAAATCGCCCGCACAGAGCACAAATAGAACACCATGGCACTCAATGGACCACGAACAGGCCGCTCCTTTGTGAGAGCCGGAAGAAGGCCGGGGTCAAAGGCCTTGTTCAACCTCAGCTGCAAATGTGCACATCATGTGACGCCAGCATCTCCCACACTGGGCATGTCCGTGAAAGGCCACGGGCACCGATTTGGGGGTCACCAGTACATTTCAGTGAGGAGGTGAACTCACAAATGGGAGCGGCAGAATGCTGAGGACTGAGCCTCTCTCCCTCCAGGGAGCGCTGGTGTTAGAGGGTGCAGGTGCCCGTGCCCAACAGTCATTGGCACCATAAATGTGAGAGGGGAGGTAATCCAAACCTAGACAATGCACCATCCCAGCTGCCCGAGTCCTTCCTTCCAGCCACCAGCTGGAGCCCCTTTCCCATGTTGCCACCAGCTGTTACCATGGCAGGCTGGTAAAGATGCAGCATCACCAGGGGTCTCTCTTGAACTCAGCTCAGCAGGTGCTGAGTGAGTGGGTGTGAATGACCTCCTGGCAGAGGCTCTGCAGGGGCCTGATGGTTACCTGTCCAGCTCTAGCTGCAGCCTCTGGTTCTCCTCGGCGGCCATGGCGCTCGTCCTCTGCTCCTGCTGCAGAGCCTCCCGCTCGGTGTCCAAGAGCCTCCACAGCTGCTCCAGCGCCGCCTCATGTTGGAGCTGGTCCTTGTAGCTGTTGAAGGGAAACACACCCGCTAGCAATGGACACCAGGGAAACTGCAAAGCCTGGGTGAGCGGCTTCTCTCTGCAGAGCTGAGGGAGAGGAGGATACGAAGGGGGCGGGGCTGGACAGAGAGAAGGGACAGACACTGGGCCAGCTCCGGAGGTCTCCTCCAGCCCAGGAGCCAAGGCCCCTCTTCCACCCGATGTGTCTCCCTAGTCCCTTCCAGTCCCTGTCAGAGCAGCCTCCCGCCTTTATCCCACGGGGAACAAAACCAGTTTCTGAGCTGTACGCCCTTCTCAAAGAAGCCACCACACACAGCAGAATTCCACCGCCCATAACAGCTGATCGCGCTCACCAGGCCCTGGGTGAGCTCTTCCCCCAGCTCAGGAGCACAACTCTCCCTGCCCTGAGCCAGGCAGCGTGGGGGCCAGAGGCTTGCCTGGTGGGGTCCAAGCAGCCTCTAGGGGCAGTTGCACATGCACATGCACATGCACACACCCTGCTCCTCAAGGCACCCCCAGTCCAGCCCTTGCCCCTCTCTCCCACAGCCTCCCCTCAGCTCGGGCTTCTATTTCCTTCCTGTCTCAGTCTGTGGAGGGTCCCGACAGCCCCCCCTGGAGGGCAGCAGAGCACAAGAGGGAGCCCCTGACCAGCCCCAGGCTGTTCTTCCTCCTGCAGGAACCTTCCCTGTTCAGGGTGACTCGGGAGCCTCCCCAGGTCCAAGGTGAGACTAAGTCATCCTCTCAGTTTTCCCCGTGCAGACAATCCCTTTCCAGACCCCCTTCCTGAGTCAGGCTGACAGAGTCCACCCGGGTTCCAGGTTTCAGCCTCTGTCTGCAGCCTCCATCCCCACCTACCCCTCCACCGGCCCCCCCATATCAGCTGTGCTTGTCCCATCTGCCTGGAGCCAAGACTTGTGGGGACTCAGACTCAGACACCTGCTGGGCGGCTGTTGGAAGACAAAGGTTCCTTCATATGGCCTTTAGCCATAGGACTGGGAAGTGGGAGGTGGGGGTGGGGGCTCTGCCTGGCTTTCAGGGCGGCCATCTTTCTCATCCAAGTTTGACAAACAGGGCCACGGGCCATAGGGTCCCCACCACTGCGTCCCTGTTGTGTCTTGGAAAAACACACGGAGCAAACATATGGCAACCATTAGTAATCACGCTGCTGCAGGGCAGAAACTGAGTCCTACTCCTCACTGAAACCCAGATACGAGGCTTGCCACCCAGTACATGGGCCAGGGGTACGAAGGAGCGAGTGTCCCAGTCAAGTGTCAAGTAAAATGAATACAGAGCCACTGGCCTGTGTTCTAGGCACCTCCACCTCCAACCTGCAGCCCTTCTGCAGACAGACAAGGGCCTCCAGCTCTCTGTCCAACCAGCAAAATCTACTGAGTCACACAGTAGGTCCATTAAGCAAGGAGCTACAGGCAGAACAATGAACTTCTCCTTCAGACTAATCAAATGCCACCTGCACAAAACTTCCCATGTGAACAGACAAAAGAATATATCCACACGGTTACCACAGGGCATTGAGGGTAAGGCCCGCAGCCTGGGGAGGGGTGGGCCCCACAGGAGGCTCCCACCATTAGTGTCAGACAGCACCACACGCCCAGTGGGTGCTCACTAAGCATCTCGTGAACACAGGATGGGTGCGAAGGAGGCAGAGATGGAGATGCCAAGAGGCAGAAGATGCTCATTCTGGCTGGAAGGAACGAGGGCCTGATGGGAGCAGACATCTCAGCCCCCCCGAAGGATGGGGATCTGGGTGGAGAAAGGAGGTGGAGGCTCCGGAGAGAGTCCCCAGGAAGCACTGGGTGAGGGAATAGATGAACATCATCGCCCCCACGCTCAGGTAGCAGCAGGCACCTCAGCAGGTTCTGCAGGCTCAAAGCCCTCCCAGGGAGATGCCAACTCCCTGCACCTCAGCTGCTCCCAGGGAAGCCCCACTGTTTGCCTAGCATCTTGCTGAGGCAGAGGCAAGGGAAATACTCAGCAGGGCCCCTCACAAGCACAGGAAGTGGGCAGCTCCCTCCTGTGCTGCTCCAAGTGTGGGAGCCTCTCCTTAGTGCATCTCTCCCTCTCCCCCCACCTTGGAGTTCTATGCACATCCACCTCCGCCAGGCTCTGGTCCTGCTGCACCTGCCGGGCCATTGCAATCACAGATCTAGGCGCTCAGCCCACGTTGGCTGGCTACATGCACACACAGCCCTGATTTGTCAAAAGCACAAAGTTAAGATTTATGTATTTAAGGTACATCACTTGTACCTCAACAAAGGGGTATGAAGAGTCAGAGGTAAAGGTGGCATGAGAATGGCAGAGTATGGATAAGTACTGGTGCAGGTGACGGGAACACGGGGCTTTCACTATATTGCGTACACTTCCATATATTCAGCAGTTTCCAAAGTTCAAAGTAAAAAAAAGAAAATCAGAAGCCCAGACTTTGAGACTTTGGCAGGTAAAAGGTCCGGGGAGCTGGGTAAGGCACGCCCTAAACATCGGCAGCTCTGGTGAACTTCCCCTCCTTGTTCTTGGTTTGGAGACAAAGGAAGAGGAAAAAAATCCCAGGAGAGCTGGGACCCCAATGCTGACGCCTGGATTCCCTGAGCTGGGATTAGCTGGGCACACCCTTCTCTTCTGGAGGACCCTCCTCCCCCTCAGTCTCCAGCTGCACCAACTCCACATCGCTGAGGGTGATGGTGGATCTCCTTCTCTTCACTGTGAAGCAGCGGGACCAGTGGACACATGAGGGGCCAGAGTGAAGGGGGACAGGAGCCTGGAGAGCCCACCAGCCACCCACCAGCCGCAGGCGCGCACCTGTCACTCAGCGCCTTGCTCTGCAGCTCCAGGGTCGGACGCAGCAGCGGCTTCTGGCGGCAGTACTGGTCCCTGAGGGCCTCGTGCAGCGCCCCCAGGCGGGCATGGTCCACTGCAGAGCCTCGTGGGCTGCCGCCAGCTGCTCGTGCTGCTCCTGCAGGGTCTCTAGCTCCCTCTCTGAGGCCGCCTGCTGCTGCTGGAGCTGCGTGTTCTGCTCCCTGAGCGCAGTGAGCGAGGCCCTCTGGGAGCTCAGCGTGGAATGTTCCGCCTGCCGGAGGGAGAAGGGATGGTGCTTCACCAGGTACAGGCCCAGGGGAACCACAGGCTCTGGATCCCCACATCCCACAAGCAGTGCGGGGCCAAGAGGGGGTCAAGTGCAGACACCAAATAGCAGGACCCTCAGGAAGACAAAACCCAGCCGTGCTGAGGACAGTTGTACCAGCTCTTAAGGAGCTGCTCTGGGAGGGCCCGAGGCATAAACCGACTGTCACATGGACCCAAGCTTAGTCCTGGGCCCCTCTCTGCACATGTGACCCCTCTTGGGCAATTTATGCCCTTTCTCTGGATAAGCTCCTCTTTGACTACTTTGAAAAGCACACAGAAAATCAGTAAGGATACAGGGTACCTGCACAGCACTCCTCACCCAGGCAGCCGATATTACAGAACACCTATCCCACAGCATTCAAACTCTCCGAAAGCTGACCGGGAGGAACCAGTCCTCACTCATTCTGAGGCCAGAATTACCCTGGTGTCCAGCTGCTGGTCCCGCGCCAGGCCCTCGGGCTGCAGGGGGTCCAGAGACGTGTGCAGCCTCTGGTTCTCCAGCAACAGGTCCTGCCTCTCCTGCTCCAGGGCACGGACCCTGTTGGGGGCTTTTGTCACGGCTCTGACCTCTGTGTCCAGCTTCTCGTTCCCCTCCTGAAACCGGTGCAGCTCCTGCTGCAGCTCCTGTGCCCGCGCCACCTGCTCCTTCCCCCGCTGCAGCTCCCCGCACAGCTGCCGCTGCTCCCACTGCTTCATGCTCAGTTTGCTTTTGGTCTCCAGGACCGCCCGGTGGAGGACTTTTCCCCATTTTTGTTGCCCTTCACTCGGGCCTTGCTGCTGGCTTGTGAACTCTCCCGCAGCGAATGCACCACTTGTTCAAGGTCCTTCATCTGCAGGAAAACACAATGGAAGACACAGGCGTGATTCCATTCCAAACTGGGGGCCTAATGTGTAGGCCTGGACGACCATCTCCGCATGGACCCAAAGAACGTCCTAACGTTTCCCAGAGGCCTTATATAGACACAAGGTGAAGGGCATGGAGATCCCCACCCAGACAGTTCAAGTCTAAACACATTCACAGCAGCTGATGATTTATGAACAGAAACCACAGCTCCTCTTTATTAAGATAATGACAGTGACTTCCTTGGTGCTTTTTATCCTGATCCACAGGGGCCCAGCAAGCTGGCCGCCCACCCCTTGGCCGCCCTTCACACTTTTCCCCTGCAGACATTGTACGTGATCGTCCCTCTGCTGTGCATGCTCACCTGCCCTCACCCTGGCCTCCAGCACCACTGGCTCCTCCTCACCCTGCCGGGCTCATTGTGAGTGACAGGTCCTCAGGGAAGCCCTGCACCAGGGTTCTAAACATCCTGCACCTAACAAGACTTTCCCTGGACCCAAGTATAATTCCTCAATAGCTCGTCTGAAGTCACCTGGCTTGTCACCTGTCATGCAGCCTGCTACAGTGGAAGCCATATCAGGGAGGTGGATGCAAGTCTCTTAAGTCTACACAGCATCATCCCAAGCCCTCCGTTTTGCTCTACTAGAGAGGCTGAAGAACTCAAGTACCTGATACCCAGCCTCCCTTGCAGCTAGGGTGAGTCAGGCGTCAGGGGAGGCCAATGAGATGTCCCCAGAGGGTACTGGGAGGCCTTCCCTCTGCCTCCTCACCCTCCACATTCTCCCTGCCCACTTCTTGGGGAGGTACAACAGCCACTGCCAAGACTGGCAGAGCAAGGAGAGAGAAGCCTGGCTCCAGGGTAGTGTCCCTGAGCTGCTGCCCCAGCACTGGGCTGCCTAGCTTGGGACTTCCTGTAGTGCGAGGCCAACCGGCCCTGAGGTTTCCACGCCTGGGCTCCGAGCGAGAAGCTGGACATGTGAAGGGGGATCTTTGTCCTGCGGGCTGTCCCATGTGCTGCAGGACATCGAGCAGCATCCTGGCCTCCCCACCACAGCAGGACCACTGCCCTCCCCTCCCCCCAGTCATGGCAATCAGAAACAAGATGGACAGTGCTGCCCAGCAGATGTGGGTCAGTGCTTGAGCATCAGCCTATGAACCAGAAGGTCATAGTTCGATTACCGCTCAGGGCACATGCACTGCCTTTCAGTCACAGTAGGCGGTGTGCAGGAGGCAGCCGATTAATGATTCTCTCATCATTGCCGTTTTTCTCTCTCTCTGTCTCTCTCTCTGTCTCTCTCTCTCCCTCCCTCCCTCCCTCCCTCCCTCCCTCCCTCCGTCCCTTTCTCCCTCCCTCCTTTCCTCTCTGAAACAAATAAAAAATAGATTGAACAAACAAAAAATTGCCAGTGTCTCTGGAAGGCAATTACTGTCCCCACCCCCTGCAGTGGCTGGAACTGCTGTCTGAACTGCAGCTGAGGGAGGAAACTGGTAAGGACTGCTGGATTCCCAGGACATGGCTGTGATCCTGGACTCGGCCTCTTGCAGGCAGGGGCGCCAGGGGAGGCATGGCGCTGGAGGGCCTACCTCCTGGGCTTCCTCAGCCTTCAGGGTCTCTATGTCACGGAGCAGCTGTTCTCTCTCCTTCACCAGCTCCTCACTGGGGGTCTCCAGATCCTGTCTGGTCTGCTTTCCTCTTTCCATCTGGACTTGCAAGTCTTCAATCTGCAGCCAAAGACCCAGCCCGTGCAAAAGTCAGTTTTAGGAAGTGAACTCTTTTAAAGCAAACCCACAACCTGTCAGCCCCACAGAACACTTTAGCCTGTCTTTTCTGAAGGGGAAAGCCTTTCTGCCCACTTCTTGGGAAGGTACAACAGCCACTGCCATGACTGCAGAGCAGGAAGGGAGAAGGCTGGCTCCGGGTGGCATCCCTGAGCCGCTGCCCACGTCAGGCCTAGTTGTGCAGTAAGCTCCCCACACCCTGACCTCAGCCCACGGCATGCACTTCCAGCTCATGGTAGGGAAAAAGCCACGGACACCAATCGGTCAGCTTCCCTCCCAGCTTCCCACTGCTTACTGTCACTGCTTCCATCTTAGGCCTGCCCACTCCTGTCCTAGGGTCAGGCCACATTTCTGGGCCCAGCAGCCACCACTGGATGTCCTACAGGGACTTCACCCGGTTGGTGACATTCCTCTCATCCAGCGGCTCAGAGGCGTCTTCTGCCATCTCTCTCCCTCCTCCCCGCTCCAAGTAAAGGGGCCACCAAGGCCTGTTCCCCACGCAGCTCCTCCCCCACACCCGCTGCCGCCCGGCCGGACCTCCTCCGTCCTGCCTGCATGACTGCCCATTCGGCGGCCCGACACAGCTCTTCTGCGGGACCCACCAGCGCCAGTCCCTGCCCATCACCCGCCTGGGCCCGCACGCTCCCACTCTGTGCCTGACACTGGCCACCGTGACGGACGCAGCTTCAGACTCAGGCTGGGACCTGAGGTGTGACTCCCAGGCAAGGCCTGTGTGCTGTCCCTTCCCACTGACACCAAACTCATAATCACCCGGGACGGGAAAGGGTTGCTCCCTACTAACAATGTGACCGCGCGGTTTCCGTGACTGACAGGGCCAGCAAGCAGCAGGCAGGTACCCGCTTCTGCCAGGGCCAAGTGCTCAGCACACGCCTGGCAGGTGGCAGGTCCAACCAGAGCTGACCCCTCCTGGGAGTGCCGGCCCCTCCCGCCTCAGAGCTCCTGACAGGGTCCGTCTGGGCTGGGGCCCAAGAACCTGCATTTGGACTTGTGACCCTGACACTGCTGGTTTGGGATGACGGCTCTAAAACTAAAACAGAGGATCCCTGTGATCAAAGATCAGTCGGTTCTCAGAGCTTTTAAACCCCGCAGACCTCAGGCCACCGGCTAGAACCTCTGGGGGCAGGACCTCCAGACGCCCAGCGTGCAGCAGAACCCAGAGCTGCTCCTTCACCCGCTGGGCCGGCCCGGCACAGGCAGGTCACACACTCCCGGAAGGACCTGCTCTAATGCCAGCTCTGCCCCCTTCTCCCGGGCCCAGGGCCGCCCTGCCTTAGCCCACAGGTCTGGGCAGTCTCCAGGCTCCTCCGGAAGCAGCAGGCAGCCAGCTTCTTCCCCATGAGGGAAGGTCAGGCACAGTGGGGCTCACATCCTTGTCCTCACATCACCCTGTGAGGGCACATGGCGCCCCTGCCCCAACATGGGGGCCCGAGGACGGGGCAGCCCCGCCCAGCCAGGGCTACCGGCCGCTCAGCACGTGTCTGAGTCTTTCTCACAAGTGAGAGCAGCCTTCTTCTCCTTCCTGATCGCTGCCCCACTTCCCAGCACCAGGTCTGGGTTCGGCAGGGAGACAGGCATCTGCCCTGAGCAGCCCCTGCCCCGGGGCCGGCCCTGAGGAGGAAGGCCCTGCACAGCGGTCACCGCCCTCACTCAGAGAAGGGCACCGGCCCAGGGGGTCCCGTGACTGCCCAGAGCCCACAGTGAGGGTGCCACAGAGCCCAACGTGGCAGGGCCGGCCCAGGTCTGCTCTCTCAGTCAGGGCCTGGGGTGTGTGGCCCCAAACTCCTGCCTGATCACCCCTCCCTGTCTTGCTGTTAATCCTTCTCCCCTGCGGCCCCTTCTCTCCCAGGGAAAGGAAAGTTATGTCCAACCTTTGCGTATCTGGCGTGGCTGCTTCTGCTCTGAAGATGTGACAGCCCTACGGCCCACCCTCCCCTGCCGGACACCCCCATCTTTCTCGGCTGCTTCTGTTTGCCCTGGAACCGGAGCCTCCATCTCCATCTCCAGCCTCTCCATGCCGCTCGCCTTCTCCCTCAGGGAGTCCAGCTCAGAGGGGGCGGCAGGACTGGGCGCTGGCCGCCAGCTCCACCTCTGGGAGGTGGGCAGAGGCAGGGGACCTGGCCCAAGTCCCTGCAGCCCCAGGAGAAGCCAGGGGCGGCCACGCTGGTCCATGTGCAGACCCCCGAGGGGGGCCCCCATGCTGACACTGAAGCATGTCCCCCACAGCAGCCCCAGGACAACTGGCTCTCAGGCAGCGCTGCTTTGAGTGGGGAGGAGAGGTCCCAGGTCACATTCCTGGACCTGGGGCCATGGGGACTGGGGGGCTCCCCCACAGGACAGCTTCCCACGCACATGGCACTGGGCCTCCCGCAGCTCCAGCTGCAGCTGGTACACCGTATGCCGAGCGTCTGCCAGCTTCTCCGTCTTCTCCTCCCTGGGGGCGATGGGAGGACGTGGTGAGGGCTTCCTCAGAAGCGCGCCGAAAGCCCACCTCCTGGGATCTGCAGCGGGGAAGGAGAGGGGACCTGGCTTCTGGGCGTGAGAAGGGCGTCTGCACGCGGGGCTGCAAAAACGCTCCCCACTCCAAGGTGAGCTTTAAGTTTTCAATGTCTGCTCTCAGAGCACACCGCAGCCCTGAGCTTTCCTGTGAGCGTGCGGCACAGGGAGGAGCCCACAGACAGGCAGGCAGCGAGGCCCACGGGCGGGGGGTGGGGGAAGGTGGGCAGCTCCCGAGACACCGGGCACGGTGCCATCACCAGCTGAGGAAAGGGGGAGCAGGCCCACCGGACAGGACAGGAGAGACACATCCTCCCTCCAGCCAAGAGCAGCCACACTGGGCCTGAGGGTGGACAGCAGGCTGCTGCTCTGAGCCTGCCATGTCTGGACTGGCAGGAGCCCTGCAGGCCCAGCAGAACGCTGCTGTGCAGGCCCAGGGAGCTGAGGGAGGGAAGGGGAGGGAGCGGGCTTCTCAGGGCCCAACAGGGACCCAGCTCCAAGCAGAGCCCTGTCACTCCCGGGCAAGTGTGAGAGCGCCCCAGTTTGCTGCCCCGCATGGCAGTGAAGCTCAGGTGCTAGCAGGTGTGGGACACGGGGCACAGGGGCGGAAAGAACGGGGTCACTGGGGACTCACAGCTCCTGCCTGGTGCCGTGCAGCCTGGCCTTGGTGTCCGCCAGCTCCTTGGCCAGGTGCTGTGTGTCCTCGCCGGGGCGGTGGCCGTGTCTCGCTCCAGGGTCAGGGTCACAAGGAGCTGCAGAGGGCACACAGAGGGGTCTCACCTGCGTGCTCCTGCGCCTGGCACAGTGCCCGCACTTCAACCTGCTGAAGGATGAGCAAAAGACAGAAGAACTAAAAGAGGAGGTGGCAGCCGAGACTGCAGTGCCAGGAGTGACGCAGGAGAAAGCAGGCGTTTTTAAAACGCGAGCATACATTTACTGAGACAGCAGGGCCGAGTGAATGGAGCGGGGCCCCCAAGCTCAACTTCTGTCCTCACCCAGGGGTCTGGGAGGGGACTGCAGGGAAAGGGCCCTCGCCCTGCCCCCAAGGAAAATGGACCAGGAGGACAGAGTGTGCTGCTTGAGAGGGAGTCAGGATGAGGAGCCAGGGCCCAAACCCCTCCCCACCTGTCCCCCAGCTGCAGGGCCGCCCGCAAACACACCTCCCTGCAGCTGTCCCGCTCATCCACGAGCCTCCTGAGCCGAGACGCCATGTTCCTGGAGAGGGACCGCAGCTCCTCCAGGGTCAGGCCTGGGACCTCCAGCCTCTGCAGGTCAAACAGGCTCTCCTGGTGGCGGGTCACCTGGGGGGACATGGGGCCGGTGCTGCGTAGGCCGGGCAGGCAGGAGCTGTGGGGTCCCTGAGAGCACACACCTCCAAGGACAGGACCCCTGGGACCTAGGCCGCCTCTCCCACCGCTGACCCACCTCACTGACATCAGTAACCCGCAGCCACCACGTGTCTGTGGGGCGGGCAGGCCCCTCAGCCAGCCCAGCCGCACTCTGCAGCGAGCTCTTTACTCACTCAGCAATCTGCTGGCACTCTGCTCCAGGAGGCCCCTGACTTCCCGCCGGACAGCGCTTCTCACAGAGTGGAGCTCCCTAACTGCCCCCAGGGATTCAGTCCCGCACCTTCCATGTGTCACACAAAGAAGGTGGGCCTTGGGAGTGGAGGGTGAGGGGGAACAGCATCTTATTTCTCAAAATAATATCTAATGTGAAGATGGCAAAATATTAGAACGCTTCCGTCAGAATGGTGGGCCCATGGCAATCATATGTTACATCTTGAGGAAACATTTCATAACCTGAAACACTTTTCAGGTGAGCCTGCATCCCCTCCCCACAGGCCACACAGGCCCACCTGGTTTCCCTTTCCGCCGGGTGTGAGCGCAGGCCCAGCCTCATCCTCACGGGGCAGCCTCTCCTCCAACTGCCGACATCACCTTCTCCAGCCCAGGGACAGGCCCTTGACGGGCAATCAAACCTGTGACTTTGGTCGGCTGTCCAACACTCTAACCACTGAGCCAAACCAGCTAGAGCCTGGCCTCACCTTCCCAACCGGAGCCCCAGCCCCGCCCGAGGAGGCAGAAGGTCCGTTTCCAGTCCGCGTCTTCTCGGGGTGGGAAGGTGAGTGTCAGAGCACTCAGGCTTCAAGAGGGGAACCAAACGGCAACCCCTGAGTGAGGGGAACCAACGGAGTTCTTCCCTCTCCCGAGGGGCAAATGCAGGGGGAGCACCTCCAAACCCGCTCCCCTGCTCGGCTGGCTCACTCAGTGGTGGGAGTGTCAGCCTGGGGAACGAAGGGTCTCGTGCTACATTCCTGGTCAAGGACATAGGCCTCAGTTGGTGGTTTGATCCCGGCCCCATGTGGGAGGCAAGGAGTCAATGTCACTCCCTGACCTCAATGTCTGTCTGTCTCTCCCTCTCCCTTTCCCTGCTTTTCACTCTTTCTAAAAAGCAATGAAAAAATATCCTTGTTGAGGATTAGAGAACCCCAAAACACAAAACCCACAACAAAAAAACGGGGCCTTTCAGTCCCTCAATTGCCACCCACTTCCTCACCTTTCCCTCCTCACAAAGAGGACCTTGGCATTCAGCGGGTCGCAGAGAATTCGGAGAAATCTCAGCCCGTGGTACGCGGCACCAGAAAGGCAGGGGCATGGGGCTCCCAGGCTGGGCTCCAGGCCTGCTGCCCCGCCAGTGCTTGGGGGAGCCTCTGATGTCCGAAGGGGATCCTGGGACACAACCCAGCTGCTTAGCAGTCCATGAGCAGCTTTTTAAAAATGTTATATTTTATTTCTTTAAAATACATTTTTGTTGATTCCAGAGAGGAAGGGAGAAGGTTGAGAAATGGAAACCTTCATGAGAAATACTGATTGGCTGCCTCCTACACTCCCTACTGGGGATCAAGCCAACAACCCAGCATGTTCCCTAATCAGGAATTGAACCATGACCTCTTGATTTATGGGTGGACCCTCAACCATTGAGCCACACTGGCTGGGGCGCAAGAGCAGCTTTAATTAAAGGCTTGTGTTGCCCCTCTGACTCGGTGAGTCTTGGGTGGGCCCGGCACCTGACTGTATGAGAAGCACCCAATAATTCTGAAGCCCCATCCCCAGGGCAGCCCTGAGTGACAATCACTCAGGCTGCTTTGCATCCTCCCTTTTGTTATTCTAAATATTCTTCTGTCTGAGCAGGGAAGACAGTGAGTAGCAAAGACCTAATCCCCGGATACGTACATGTTCACAACACAGGGACACACCAGGAAAACTGAAAGGCAGAACCGACATAGCCAGTTTGGCTCAGCGGATAGAACACCAGCCGGGGAATGAAGGGTCCCAGGCTCCATTCCGGTTAAGGGCATGTACCTGGTTGCTGGCTCCTCCCTGGCCAGGCTCTGGTTAGGAAGCACACAGGAGACAACCAATTCATTTGTTTCTCTCACTTTGATATTTCTCTTAGTCTATCCTCTCTTTCTCTCTCTCTAGATATCAATGGAGAAATAGCCCCCCCACCCCCCCCCACCCCCCCCCACCCCCCCCACCCCCCGTTGAGGATTTAACAAAAGCAGAATGGTCCTCAGGCTAACAGGTGGCGGCTCACCATCACAATGGCTGAGCTATTTAGGACCATGCTGACATCCCCTCCACTTCCACCAGTCCCTTCCCTCTCAGGATCCAGTGCGGACTCAGCACTCACCACCCTTGGTGCCCTTCAGCCCAGCCTGTCCCTGGCACCGGCTTGGGGTGCTGTGTTCATTGGCCCCTGCCAGCCCACACCTGCTCCTACGTGCTCCTGCTCATGGCTTGCTCATGCCTTTCTCTCATCTGTCCAATCGGACTGAAGGCTGAACCACATCTCCTAAGGTAACTAAATCACATAAGGCTTCTTGTGGAGGGAGGGGCATGTCAGGGAAATACACTTTCAGTTCGGTGGCTGCCCCACAGGCCTGGTTTCCAGGGAAACCACTTCTCTGATGTGACCACCTCTGCCAAGGTCCACGGCAGAGGGGCTGCCCTCAGTGCAGAGCCCTCCTGACCCACCCAGGGCCCAGTCTACAGCGACTGCCCTTCTGGGACTTGGCAGCCTGTGTCTCTGCCACCTCACTGACACAGAGACCCTTCCCCTGGGAAGATCAGCCATGGGAAGCAGAGCCACATGGGCCAGAGCACATTTTCAGGGCAAATCAAATTCTGAGTCCAAACCCCTTGACAGTACTTAAAACCAGCCTGGCTCCGTATTAGGCAAGAATAGGAGGCAAATGGACACCTGATTGAGGTGTTTTAAATTTTTTTACATTTTTACCCCCATTTTGTTTTAGCTTGCTGAGGACTACCTTTCCAAACAGGTTCAATACATCTGGTGTATGAAACCTAAAATCAGGACAATCGCTAATGGGTGATGTAGTCTTTAAACTTTCCCTTGGTGGTGAGAGTCTGCCTCCTGGTTGCCACGGGAGTGGGGGTCCACGGCTAAGCCCCACAAAGGCAGCCACAACCTACCTCCGGAATATGGGCCAGAATCTTGTTCTGGGTCTCCATGTCCAGCTGTTGAATTTTGTCAATAAACTCCCCTTTCCTGTCGCACTGCGGAGGTAACACGTGTTAATGGAAGCATTCTGCAAGTGAGGCAACCTGGGCCCACCGCAGCCACGAACATTTCCAAATGAACTGCCCACCGGCCCCTGGCTTCCTCCTTTATGACCGAGAATCTGTCCTCCCTCCTGTCGCTTAGACTGAGGTTTCTCTAGAAGTTGCTCTGAACACCACAGAGGAATCACCAGGGGTACTTGTTTTCAAAAAGCCCATCAGGTTGAAAACCTGGGTTGAAGCACAAAAATCTGCACGTTAAACAAGCTCCAGTGACTTAAACCAGATAAGGGCAAGAGCTCCAGGGGGACAGCCTTCCTCTTCGAAGAGCCGGATGGTAGGAACACCTCAGAGTCTGCGGGCCATTTAGTCTCAGCTCTGCCCTTGTGCTGAGCCAGCAGCCAGAGATAATACATGAAGAATCCAGTGGGGCCCTGTGCCCATGGAAGTTTTTTCCAAAACCAGGGAGGGTCAGATGGGGCCCCAGGCTGCATGGAGTTTCTGATCTTTGGTCTACACGTCCCTATGCTGGGGACAATGTGCTACGGGCACCCTGGGCTGAGGAATCCCCACTTGCCTCTTGCCAAAGGTGCCCTGGGACTAGAATCGGCTGCCACCTAATGAGTGGTCCCTTCGCTCAGGAAGCCGGGATGTGTCATGTGGGAGTGAGGGCAGCTTCCCTCCTACGTCACTCACAACGGGGGAGTTTATCCCCACACACCAACACAAGATGGCAAGGGCAGGCCCCCTCCACCCTTGCCCAATCCCTACCTGGACAGCACAGCCCAGCACCAGCACCAGCATTTTCTTCATCTGCTTCATACTCTTTGCTAAATCGAAAGAGCAACATATTTTAGTAAACTCATCTCCTCATAAAATCTCACCAGTGATACACCACTCTGCTGGTGGGGGGGAAATCAGATAAGCTAAAAAAAATCATTTCTCTACCGAGGGATTTCAACTTCGGTGTACTCTGCCGCCATCTGTTTTCTACGTATGGGCTTGTGTATTATTTAAGCCAGATGAGAATTCTGTACACAGTATTTGTGATCCTTTCCCACTCAAATATGTCATCAACATCTTCCCACGATAACCCATGACCTTCAACATCAGCACCTCTTGTTAGTGTGTGCGGGAAGCAAGCCCAATGGCAGAGAGGCGGCTCCCCAGGAAGTGCGGAGTGGCGCTGGGATGAGGTGCACACACCTTCACCTGTTCATCCTGCAGCATTGCAAATAGCCAAGCCCCAGACATGCAGCCCACATCCTGCACGTCCGGCCCGCCGCTGTAATCTGTCCCCCAGCCTCAGTTCCCATCTCTGAAATGGAGACAGCTGGCCTGGGTGATGTGCAGAGTGGCTTTGGGGTAAAAAAAAAAAAAAAAAAAAAAAAAAAAAAGGTATCTAGTTTTACAGCTTTCTCAACATATCCTGTCCTACTTGGGGAGAAGGAACATGCCAGAAAAAGCATTGTTTTTGAAAGACACTCCCCTTGCACTGTGCTAAATGGCCCAAGGTGCTACCAACGATCCCTGGGATGAAGAAAACAAACTCGTGTCCCAAGAATGAGTGCTGGGCTTTATTTCAGATCCTGGGCTGTAAGGTGTGTATGGAGTAATAGGTGACCTCGTCCTAATAGCTCTCAAAAGAGAAATAGCTAAAAACCACCTTTCCTGCAATGAAGACACTACGGTTGAGTCTCAGATCTGGGGGCTGGACATTCACTGACCTAAACAGCACTCTCCTTGCCGCCTCCCAGCCTGAAGGAGGGCGGGAGGGGTGAGGGCTGGACCATAGGGCCCCCATGGACCATGCAGATCCCAGTCTTAACAACATGCTCAGTAAGGGTGGGTGCTGCAGAGCCATCCACCACAGACAAAGACGACCCTTTGCTAATAAGTCTAGAACTTCTTCAGTGTTTAAAAGGGAATAATTTCAAAGTCTTATGATTGTTATTTCACTTGAGGCATTTCATTTGGCCCTAAGGACTCCAGTCCATAGTCATTCATAAAAATAATCACCACCCTGACTCACTTCTCTATTCATGCTGAGCTGATGATCAGCCACATCTCAGTTTTGATTAAAATATAAGGGAATGAGCACGGGAGTGTAAAAGCCTCCCATCAGCTCCACCAAAACCTTTCCATGGCCACAGTGCTCTCGTCCACCAGCCCATGTGCCCATGTGACTGTCCCCTCCCCCAATGGGTGCCCAGATGACAGGCAAGTGCCTCCTGTAAGCCCTTTGGTGGGAATTAGAGGCACAGACCCTCCCAGCCATCGCCAGCTCCTCTTCCTGCAGCGATTCACCTCCCCCAGGCTTGTCTATGGTGCTGTAGCCAGCAGAGAGCTGATACCCAGAGAGAAAGTGTTTGGAAGGCATGGAGCAGCAGACACAGAAGGCAGCGTTCATATAGAAAATCTTGATGTTCACGGCAGATTGTCTAAGTGTACCACACTTTGAAATAACTCCAACAGCTCTGAGGGTCCATATTCCCAGCCACAGCAGAGGAAAATAGCATTAAAAGTGGAGACCCATGTGGGATAGGCCCACTGCTCTACTACTAATAGCAAGAGCATAAGCAAGGAGGAGACTAGAAACCCTGTATACACACACACACACACACACACACACACACAGATACACATGAGTTCAATCTACAGTCTTAGGTAGCTCAATCAAAGAGCAAAGAGCTCCACTCCATCAGCACTGGCAATTACACACATGAAAATCATCATTCATTCATTCATTCCCACCCATCAGACATAAAAAAACAACAACCAAAAAAAAACCATACACACACATACACACAAAAACAACAACAAAAAAAAAACACAAAATCTGATCCAGAGCACTGTTAGAAAAGTATGGAATTCCTGTTTGCTAAGTTTTGTTAACGAGGGGGAGGGGGGAATGTGAGGAAAGTTTACAGGTAGAGAATTTTAGAAAAATCTTCATGGAAAAAATGATTTAAAATAAGTTTGGGGCAATAAACAGGGCATTAGGAGATTCAGGTGGAGCAGTGCTGTGTTTGTTCTCACCAGGGTGAGTGAGTAAACACATGTGTTGCAAACAAAGGCATCCTGTGACTGTTTTCCTACACAGATTCCAATGAAACTTACAGGGACCGGGAGCCCGAGCGAGAAGCAGCAGTTCTCTCATTTTGGGGGGAGGCTGATACCCAATTTCTCTCAGGATTTCAGAAGTAACAAAAACTGGTATTTTCATAAATCTACCAGACTGTGGGTTTTGAATAGTTTCAAACATACAGAAGATTCTCGAGTGGGTCCACACCAGCGAGATTGGCTCAGTGACAGTTAAGCAGGCAAAGAAGAAACAAACCTACAGAGAGCTCCCTTCCAGGCACCCATGTGTTCTGGCTGCTGTGAGCTTTGTCTTAATCAACACAGCCCTCTGGCTCAGACCAAGAACACCGACAATGCACAAAAGCTGGAGAGTGCCCCGGGAACCTGGAAGAAGGGCCTCTAATCTGCAGTGAGATCAGGCAAGGCTTCTTAAAGGACCTGACCTCTTCTGGGTGAGGGGCGGGGTTAGGACACAGTGAGGGAGAGCTTGCAGGCACAGGAACAGCATGTGCAAAGGCCCAGAGGTGAGAGAACATGTGCTTGTCCCAGAGCCCTGGTGCAGGCAGACACACAGGATGTGGTGGGAGGAGATCCGTAGCCTGTTTGTCTCCCCAGGGAGCCACCTGACAAGCATGAATTCACTCTGACTTTCTGGAAGATGCCCAGGAGCACATTTCATTTGTTTTTTTCAAGGTCACAGCGAGTGTCCAATTCTAGGATTTGAAACCCTTGCCCTCTCGGGCCTCAGGGAGCAGTGGCAGACATGCCAGGACTTCCTGGTGAGACTCACTGAGGACTGACAAGGGCATCTCAGGGTTCCCAGGGAAGAGAGATGCGAGTTCCTCCACAGATTCTTCCTTTCTTACCAAAAGGCCCCACCCTGTGAAGGTGGCCTGACTCCACATTTACTGAGGAGGAGAGACCCCCGAGAGGCCACATATGACTCATCCCCTAAGCCCACTGAACCTGGGGCCTTGCTTCATGCTCAGAGGAACAAACCCATCTTTAATATCTCACCAGGATGATCACGAGTTTTCAGTGCTGGCTCCAAGCTGGCAGCCAGAGCTCTGTGTCCAGCAGCTGCCTAGAGCCGCTGGCACTGGCCAGGCCTATGGGGGGGGGGGGGGGCTTTCACTCACTCATCAAAACATCTGACAAGCTCGTTACAATTAGTTGCTTGAGAACTTACTGCAGAAACAAAGAGGAAAGATACTACTGAGAACAGGAAAGGAAATAAAGAATGACTAACAACATGACAGCTTATCAAGTCACTGGGTGAGTGTAGCCACTGCATGGTAACTGGGAACATGCTGTGCAAGAGGAAGGAATAGTTAGGATGTAAATAAATGTGAAAAGCCAGAGCTACCTGTACTTCTGCCCTCATCATCTTACCTAATAAAAGAGTAATATGCAAATTAACCATCACTCCGCTCCACCAGCCACACCCACCAGCCAATCAGAGCACATATGCAAATTAACCCCAACCAAGATGGCGAGGCCCATAGTGGCCAGTGGTTGGATAGGAGACACAAACCTGCAGGGGGCGAGCAACCAGCAGCCCCCAGACTGGAGACACAAACCCGCATAGGGCAGGCACCCAGCCGTCCCAAACCCTGCCATCCTGGACCTGGGCTGGGGAAGGAGTGCATTGGAGACACAAACCCGCAGGCCTGGCACCTAGCAGCCCCAAGGCCTGAGGTGGAGGCGTTGGGGCTGCTGTGGGGGAAAAGGGGGCAGCGGAAACACAAATCTGCAAGAAACCTGTGGAAAGGGAGATAAACTATCATAATTTAATATCCCTTTCCACGAGATGAGAAAACTGCTGGATTATTTAGTGATGTGGCCCACACCTTTCTACAAACACAGGGTATGTTATGACCACTTCCAGGAAAGTCTGGTCAGAATACCATCTCCAGGGAGTAATGCTTCTGTGACACATCATTTCAGAGAGGAAACAAGCTTTTGTTGGGTTTATTCTGAAAGTCAGAGAGCATACCACCCCAACATATGCTGTTATATTGATGATCTTGAGCTGCAGATGCTTGAAAAACAGCAAATGCATGCAGAGGATTTCACTAAAGTCTCCTGATCTGCCTAAAATCGGACCCCCCAAAAGAAGCTTAAATATCATAGGTCCCCTTGACGGGAGAAGTGTCATCAGGCAGAGAAGACTGACTCCTGTCACAGGACAGGAGAGTAGAAGTTGACATAACACCCAAACTTTGTTACATACTATTTCCCCTCACTCCCATTCACCTTTCCTAAAAATCACTTACTCTCCTCTAAGAGGCCTACATCTCCCGTCCCCTTTCCTAGGAAGAAGGTATTTAAATCTGCATTCTAAGCCACCTTGGGGAGTTACTCATTTTCCCCTGAGATCTCCCACATATATACAAGGTACAATGTTAACGAACTTTTGTTTTTCTCTTAGTGATCTGTCTTTCATTACAAGGACCTCCACTAAGAACTCAGAAAGGTAGAGGAAAACTAATTTTCTTCCTCCATAATTCTATCTCAGGAAATCAAGTCCGGAGCTGAACAATGAGGTTGGCTCAAGTACCAAGCAATCCTGGCTGATGGGAGGGAAGCTTCTAGGGAGAAATCAATGATATTGGCATCAAAGTGGCTTGTTTGCTGGTGGGAGTTTAAAGTGGTTCAACCTTTTTGGAGGATGATTTGGCAAATTTAGTAGAAATGTTCAAGGTATATCCAAGAGTCTTCTTCTAGGAATCACATCTGCTGAGATAAAGCGCAAGCGCATAAGCCCTGATCAGAACCCAGGATGCTACTGTGGGCTCCCCTTCCAAGATAGGAAAACCTGGGAACAATCTGCATTTTTAGGACAAGGTGGCATCTATACTAATAAAAAGGGTTATATGCTAATTAGACTGAACATCTTCAGGGTGACCTTCCGGATGTCATTCCCTACATCCTTCCTGACAAAGCCATGTTGGCAGGGCCAAGGCAGAGGAGGTTAGAGGTGATCAGGCAGCAGGGGAGAGCAGTTAGAGGGACCAGGCCAGCAGGGGAGAGCAGTTAGGGCATACAGGCTATCTGGAGAGAGCAGTTAGGGGGATCAGGCTGGCAGACAGGTGAGTGGTTAGGAGCTAGAAGTCCTGAGGGGTCCCAGAGTGGAGAGAGTGCAGGCCAAGGGGACCCCCTTCCCATGCACGAATTTCATGCACCGGGCTTCTAGTAATCAAATAAACATTATGCCTGAATATGTGCAGACACCTTGGGAAGAATAAGATACTACATTACATGCCAGGAGAGCAGCATCAGGTGTGAGTGCCTTTTTCAATTTTTTAAAATATGTCTTTATTGATTTCACAGAGGGAGAGGGAGGGCTGGGGAGAGAAATATCAATGATGAGAGAGAACCATCCATAGGCTGCCTCATCCACTCCCCCTACTGGGGGATTGAGCCCCAACCCCTGCATGAGCCCTGACTGGGAAGCCAACCATGACCTCCTGGTTCAGCAGCTGGGCTGTGAGTGTCTTTTGAAAAGATTTCTTTATTTTCATGGTATGATTTGCTGGTGCAACTAAAGTAAAGAATGAAAATCAAAGAGATGCTACGGGGGTCTCTATGGGATGATTCAGGATGCTGTGTCAGCAGGTCTTCAGAGACTTTTCTCCTTTACAGCAGCGCCCTCCCTGGGAGAGGGATAGATCACAGCTACAGTGCACCCTTAGAGAGGTGGTTCCGGAATGGAGCTGCCTTCACAGAAGGGTTTTGAAAGCAGGCCCAGGAACCAGCCCTGGGCCTGGGGGTCTCAACCAGCCCTCCTTGGAGTGTGAGGTTCACCCTGACCTTCCACTGCATTCCCCAGAGCGCCACCAGTTGGTCTTTCGTGTCCAGAAGGGCCTTGCTGTTTATGAATCAGAAGATAGAAACCCAATTTTTCAGAAGACAAGTAAGGGGGTAGGTTTCACAGGTATTCTTGGCCTTAGACAGTGTCGCTAGAGACATTTCTCACCAACAAAGCTCTTCTTATTCCTTTTAAAAAATGTTTCCAACTTTTTTCAGGAGTCACTCTATTGCATAACTGGTTAAATGTCTGCATTCAATGTCCTGCCAGTTAGCAGTGATGAAGAAAAGAGGGACCATAACACCATGAGCCCAATACGTGGTGAGGGGTTTGGGATGGAAATGGGGGGATGAGGACAATTATGTGATACCATAATCAATAAAGAAATTTTAAAATAATAATAAAAAGTCAAAACAAACAAACAAACAAAAAAAAAAACACCCTGGGCCCAGAACTCTCTCTGAATCCTCACATTAGAATGGGCCTAGGCAGGCAGGCCAGGAGTTGCAGTGCCATCGAACATTTATGCACTGACTTTATCCACCCGTCTTGTCATCTCTCTGTGGCTTCTGTCCACACCAGAACTTGGGGAAAGGGATGCTACACCATGAGGCATACCCAGTCCCAACACGCCAGGCCCCTCTCCACTCAGTGCTGGAGAGTGCTTCTTGGCCATCTGGGGTCCCATGTCACCGCATCAGAGGTGACTAACATTTTCTTAACCATGTCTATGTTCCTCCAACAATGTCAGATGTACATTTCCTTCTATTCTTGGAACTGAACTTTCCACTTTTTAAACTGAGTGTGCACATTTCTAAAGGAAATTCCAATGTTTATTCGTCAGCCCCATGCTCATCCAATACAACTGCCACACAGAGCTGACAGGTCTCAAAAAGAAGGCGAAGTGGGGAAAAGGTGCAAGCAGTGTATGGAAGTTTTATCTAAAGACATCACACAAAGTAATGCTAGTGTGTGTGCATGTGGATATGTACAGTGACACACACATGCACACATACAGGCACACCTGACAAGAGCATAAAAATTTGAACTGATACCCAGCAAATTGGTGACAGCGGTTATCTCCAGGGAAGGAGGAAAGGATAATTGGACTCAGTAGAGGCATCCTGGGGACTTCTATCAGGAAAAAAAAAAAAAAAAAAATCTCTCCTTTTATTAAAAAAAAAAAAGAAGCATATTTGAATTGATTTCAGAGAGGAAGGCAGAGGAAGAGATAGATAGAAACATCAATGATGAGAGAGAATCATTGATTGGCTGCCTCCTGCATGCCCCCAACAAGAAAACAAGCCCTCAACCCAGGCATGAGCCTTGACTGAGAATCGAACAGTGACCTTCTGGTTAATATCGATAGGTTGACTCTCAACTATTGGGCTCCACCTACCAGGCAAAAAATTTATTTATTAAAAAAAAAATCACATCTATAATCTATAATAATAATAAAAGGGTAATATGCTAATTAGACCATACATCCTTCCGGACGAAGCTGGGGCTGGAGGAAAGCCATCCAGGTCCCAGATGCCAGAGGGAAGGCAGGTGCTGGCAGGAGGAAGGAAGGCCTATCATTCCAAGAATTTCCGTGCATTAGGCCTCTAGTATGTTCACATTCATTTGAAAAAAGGATACTCGGGGGTTCATTATAAACACTGGTACTGTTTGATTTTTAATTTTTCAAAGCAATGGCGGTAAGAAAGGATTACAGAATATCACACAACCCCAGACTACTTCTTCTGCTGTTTCCTCAGAGACATAAAACAATATTGGGGTCTGCAGCGCCTACTAACCAAGGTGAGAGTTCAGAAGAAAGAAGCCAAGTTCAAGAAATCATAAACCACACTTCCTGGAGGTGCTCTTAACTGGAAAACCAGTGTATGTGGTCCCTGGCCACCATGGGATGTGGAATATCAGGCCCAGGCCCATCCTCTGCTTGACAGATGAGAACTCAGAGGCCCAGAGAAGGAAAGCACCTGAGGGGAGGAGCTTGGAGAACCTCAGCAAACCTCCCATTTCAGAGTCAGCCCTGCAGGTGGGTCCCTACATCCATCTAAGGGTCCAGGTGTCAGGATCGAGGTCCCTACATGGACTCAAAACAAACATGTACATGTCCGTCAACAGACACGGGATGTATTCAGCCGCTGACTGAGGGCCCCCCCACCATGCAGCCAGAGAAGCCTCAGCAGCTTCACAGGACAGCGAGGCCCTGACTGCCCCGAGGAAGGGCCACATCGCAGGCCTCCAGGGCAGGGAACGGCGGTGGACACAATGCACAGCCCAAAGAATAAACAGGCGCCCGCTATTTGTTGCACGGGGAACTCCCCCTACACTGGCCTTGTTTTCCTACTGGCTCCATTATGGAGTGAAC